TATCTATCTATCTATCTATCTATCTATCTATCTATCTATCTATCTATCTATCTATCTATCTATCTATCTATCTATCATCTATCTATCCTATGTTTTGTAAAATATTTCCCACACCCCAATTGAGGGAAGTCCCCACCCTAGAAGAATGAAATATTTTCAGAAATATTAAAAAGGCAGAATATTATATTTCCCTAAAGGAGAAATAGAGAAACATGCTCTTAAAAGACAAAAAGCAGACTCAGCCTCCCTCCTTCCCCTCAAAGAAACTGAGGAGGCCACCTTTTAAAAATGCAGATTTGTTAATCTGTTCAAGACAGGATTACAACTCCAAGGAAGCCAGCAATTTAGGATTAATTATATTTGTTAAACAAGATTAAAAATCCAAGGAAGACAGCACTTTAGATCTATTGCCAGCTTTCGTGAGACAAACTAATTAAAATCAAATAACAAAATACACAAAACAAACCTCTAAATTACAAAATGTTGTAGAACAAACTGTATAAAAATGCGAGTGTAAGTTTAAATATGGTGAAAGAAGCCAGCTGGAGCAAGCAGACACATGCAAATGCAAAATATGTAAGAGGGATAAAGTAGGACAGTGCTAATTGATCAAAAGTTGCTACTAATTTCTCCAGTGCGCTGCTTGGAGAGTCCAAGTGTGGGTTAACACAGCCTATCTGCCCTTGGACTGAGTAATATTTTTCTTGACCACGCCTCTCTTTGCCTCTCCATGTCCAGTTTAAAAACTCAGTCTGCCCGTTGGGACTGTTTTGGGAGTGCTCCAGTCCAAGAACAGATAGGCTGGGGTTCCCAAATCCAAATTGACCATCTTTCTTCTCTACTTGTCTATAAGAATATATGTAAAGGTTTGCTTTAAAATGCTGAGAGGGTTCCCGGGCCGGCCCTGTCATCCGCTGGTCGCAAGCCGATAGGTGTTATTGGCTCTTAGTTCTCTCTGGGAATATAGCAGCCAAATAAAAACTACAATTAAGGGTTTCTGTTAGCTTTACATTGAAGAAAGTGTGTGGCTCTATTTAATTCCAGGTACTAAGAACTAAAGAAGAAACAACCAAAACATCAGAGATTCTTGGATCCCTTGATTTTTTTGGAAAGAAAAGAAAAGAAAACGAACTTCATGAAGCTCAAATCAAAACATTGGAACTGTCTAATTTGCCCCTTGAAGAGGTAGCAGCACCACAGAAAACACAGGCTGCAAAGAAGAGAAAAGGAGATGGACAAAGTACTAAAGAGAGAAGAAAAAAGAAAAAAGGCCAAGGTAATGAAAGGCTGGCTACCCATCAACTTCAAAAAATATGGAATTATTTTTGGTTTTCGTTCAGTTGCATGAAAGTTGTAGTTGCCCATGGAGATTCTCAGTCATCCAGGTCATGGTTGTCCCAAAGGTGCTTTTTCAAGAGGCATCTGGACTTTCTTTGTTTTTCTTTGAAGACGTTTTGCTTTTTCAGCTCTGAAGATTCACTTACTAAAGAAGCATCTTAGATGAGAAGCTAAACGTCTTCAAAGAAAAACAAGGAAGTCCAGTTGCTTCTTGAAAAAGCACTTTTGGGAAAGTTGCAGTTGTTTCTTGGTATCTTGATACTTTCCACTTTGTTTATTACAGTTTTGATGTATGTGGCTTAGAATTTAGCTCTTAGAGTTTTGTTTTATATAAATGTGTATGTAAAACTTAACCAGAATATATAGATTAAACTTATTCATAGAGTTAGAACCATCATCTAGATCAGTGTTTCTCAACCTTGGCAACTTGAAGATGTCCGGACTTCAACTCCCAGAATTCCCCAGCCAGCATTTGCTGGCTGGGGAATTCTG